ATACAATGGCCTATAGCTGAAGTTGTATACCAGAGGAAATATACAGGTTTCAAGGATTTCCTTTAAAAATAAATGAAACTTAATGAAGAATGAAACATCAGACATCTCAATTAGATAATAAAATACGCCAGAAGAAAATAGGCCAGGCAGGGTGGCTCATGCCTGTAATCCTAACACTTTGGGAGAAGGAGGCAGGTGGATAGCTTGAGTTCAGGAATTCGAGACCAGCCTGGCTGGGCAACGTGGCAAGACCCTGTCTCTGCCAAAAGAAAAAAATACAAAACTTAGCTGGGTATGATGGTGCGTGCCTGTGGTCCCAGCTACTTGGGAGGCTAAGGTGGGAGGATCACGAGCCTAGGAGGTCAAGGCTGCAGTGAACTATGATCACACCACCACACTCTAGCCTGGGCAACAGAGTGAGACCCTGTCTAAAAAAAAAAGAAAAGAACAATGAAAGATAAAAATTAAGTACAAAACCAAAAAACATAAAGAATAAACAAAAGAGCAGTTTCTTTGACACTACCTATGAAATAGCAAAACCACTGAAAGCCATTTAAAGAAATATGAGCCAGGCGTGGTGGCTCAAGCCTGTAATCCCAGCACTTTGGGAGGTCGCAGCAGGCAGATGACCTGAGGTCAGGAGTTCAAGACCAGCCTGGCCAACATGGTGAAATCCCATCTCTACTGAAAACACAAAAACTAGCTGGGCATGGTGGCATGCACCTGCAGTCCCAGCTACTCTGGAGGCTGAGGCAGGAGAATCGCTTGAACCTGGGAGGCAGAGGTTGTGGTGAGCTGAGATCGTACCACTGCAGCCTGGGCAACAGAGCATGACTGTCAAGGGAGGGAGCGAGGGAGAGAGGGGAGGAAGAGAGGAAGGGAGGGAGGGAAGGAGGGACAGAAGGAAAACATTTAAGATGAGAAAGGAGATGCAACCAGAAATGCAAGAGAATAAAATAAGACTATTAAATAATTTAAAATACTGTGTGTATGTCTATGGCAATAAACTGTAAATCTAGAAGAGTGGTTCAAGTCTTGGCTACACTCTGGGACTGGGTCTCAGACAGTAATTTTTCAAGTTCCTCAAGTGATTACAAAGTGATTGTAACTTGAGGAACTTGAAAAATTACTGTCTGAGACCCATTCCCAGAGACTAATTTAATTCGTCTGTGGTGTGGTCTGGGCTCTGGGAAGTTCAAAGGCTGTCCCATGTAATTCTATTACTGAAATTGAGAATCACTGAATTCTTAGGCTCAGACTGTGTGGTCCATGGACCACCGCATCAATATCACCAGGGAGCTTGCAGGAAGTGCAGAATCACAAGCCCCACTCCCGACTGACTGACTCAGAATGAGCATTTTCACAACATCTCCCAGATGATGCATATGCATTTAATAAATGAGAAGTATTGATCTACAGAAAATGGATGACTTTCAAAGATACCAAATCTTAAGAAAAGCTGATGGGCTAATTAATGTAGAACAGATCAGAAAAGTAAAGACCTCCCACTAATTTTATTTATTTTTATTTTTATTTTGAGACTGAGGGGCAACCTCTGCCTCCTGTGTTCCCGGGTTCAAGCAATTCTCCTGCCTCAGCCTCCCGAGCAGCCGGGACCACAGGTGCACCACCATGCCCAGATAATTTTTGTATTTTTAGTGGAGATGGGGTTTCACCATGTTGGCCAGGCTGTTCTCGAACTCCTGACCTCAAGTGGATCTGCCCACCAAGTACTGGGATTACAGGCGTAAGCCATCACCGCCTGACCCCAAAACATACCATTTATAAAGAGGCATCAGACCCAAATGCTTTCACAACTGAGTTCTACCTAATCTTCAAAAATTAGATAATGCTTCTAGTTTTTAAACCATTGGAAAAATTATAGAAAAGTTTTCGAGTTCATCTTTTAGAGCTAGAGTTAAATTAATATTCAAGCTAATTAATATTCATCTTACATCCCGGGCATGATGCCTCACACCTGTAATCCCAGCACTTTGGGAGGGCAAGGCGGGTGAATACCTGAGGTCAGGAGTTCAAGACCACCCTGGCCAACATGGTGAAACCCTGTCTCTACTAAAAATACAAAAATTAGCTGGGCGTGGTGGAGAGTGCCTGTAATCCCAGCTACTCGGGAGACTGAGGTAGGAGAATCGTCTGAGCCCAGTAGGCAGAGGTTGCAGTGAGCTGAGATCTCGACACTGCACTCAAGCCTGGGCAACAGAGCGAGACTCCGTCTTAAAAAACAAACAACAACAAAAACTGCATGCAATCTGAATAAAAAATCCCAATGGCTTTTAAAGGAAACTGGGTAAAATGATTTTCATGTTCCTATAGAGTGTCAAGAAAACTATGAAAAATAATAGAACTTAAGAGGGACTTGCCTCTGGCATTGGCACAAAAATGACAAACAGATCAGTAAAACAAAATAGACTTCAGAAACAAATCCAAGGATATATATGGTGACCACATAAAGTGTCATTTCAGTTCATGAGGGTAAAGGATGACTTACTTCATCAACAATACTGGAATAGGAGGCTCTCTAACCAAGAGAAAACAGAAATTAGTCTCTACAAAACAATATATTGAAAAAAAATTGGGGGGGGATGGGGTCTCCCTCTGTCACCTAGGCTGGAGTGCAGTGGCATGATCATATTTCACCATAAGCTCGAATTCCTGGGCTCAAGTGATCCCCCCACTTTAGTCTCCAGAGTAGCTGGAACTACAGGAGCATAGCCACCTTGTCCAGGTAATCTTTCAAAATAAAGTTTTAAATCACCATTGGATTGCTAAACAAAATAATTTTAATTACATAAAAATCCAAACAAAACAATAAGAATATAGAAAAAAACCTAGGCATATATTTGCAGAACCTTGGGGTAGAAAAGACCTTTTTAAGCAGAACAAGAAACACCAGGAATTATAAAGGAAAAAAATAAACATTTGATTACATAAATATTAAAGATTTTTATATATGAAAAGATTACGTAAGCAATAACAACATAAATCATACACTACAAAAATGTGCAGCAAATGCATTAGAAAGTTAATAGGCTTAATGTACAAATAACTCCAAACAGAAAATGGGGCACAGGATATGAACAGGCAATTTATCAGAGGGACAACTTAAAGTGCTATTAGATACATAAAAGTATTAAACTCCACTAGGAGTCTGGTCAAAGCAAATTGAAACAGCGATGACATATTCTTTATTTTTTTAACCTGTGAGATTAGCTGTAACACCCACTGTTTGTAAGGCTGAGGGGAACAAACTCTCCCATATATTGGTGTAGACACGTAAATTACATTTGATGTTTGAAAAGAAAATCGCTGAAGCCAGAAATAGAACTGAAACTGTTGTTACAAGACGGATAAAAGATTTATGTGTATGGACTAAGATTGGAAGAGAACAAAGACAAGCAATCCTTTTAATACAGAAGGTGGCCTTGTGGGTGATCATTTTCCTGATTTTTGTTATGAAAGCATGCAATAAAAATAACTTGCAAGATTTCCATCTTTGTATAGTAAGTACATTTGCCCTTTAAAAATTAATTTTCTGAAGAACCAAAATATACTGCCTTGAGAGAAGAAGGAACTTTAGAAGGTCTGCCACAATCACTTTAAGGGGTAACAGTAAAAATCAATAAAGTGGACACAAATATGCAAGGCTAATGGCGAAAACGTCACGTTGCTGTTGTGCTAATACCAGAGAGTAATCCAGAATTGGACTAACGCTTATAAGGATGACATATGCTAACTCTTCTCCCCCTTTTCCTGTGTCCTAGCCTGGGAAGACTGGGGTAGATGCTCCCTTTTTCTGATGAACTAGTCTCTTGATAGCTCACAGAGGAATGGAAGGTAGGCCCTACACCTTCAAAGGACTGGCTACATCAGTCAAAGCCTACATTGGAGGGAAATAGATTGGAAACAGACTCATCTCAGCCTCTGGGTCTCCCAGTCCAGCCTTACTAGAATAAATCACACTCAGTTGGTGGTTTCTTGTGGCCTGTTTTCAATGTGGTTAGAACTCAAGAGGGGAGGATAGGTGACTAGAACTTTCAAAACCCCAACAGATGGCTTTGCAATACCCCCTTATTTCAAAGAATCTCAGACAAAAGGAAATGGGTTCTACATTTAAAGTCAAATACACCAGGCGTGGTGGCTCACACCTGTAATCCCAGAACTTTGGGAGGCCGAGGCGGGCACATCACCGGAGGCCAGGAGTTCAAGACTAGCCTGGGCAACATGGTGAAACTCTGTCTCTACTAATAATACAAAAATTAGCCGAGCGTGGTGGCACACATCTGTAATCCTAGCTACTCAGGAGGCTGAGGTAAGAGAATCACTTGAACCCGCGAGACTGAGGTTGCAGTGAGCCAAGATCGTGCCACTGCACTCCAGCCTGGGGTGGATAAGAGCGAAACCCCGTCTCAAAAAATAAATAAATAAATAAAGTCAAATAAAAGCACGAAGAACAAGCAGAAACTGGCCTCTTAGAAAGCAAATAATAAAGGTCTAGTTAACTATTCTATAATTTTAGTCTATGTGTTTAGATACTTCTGTGGTAGCTCACATAGCCAAAGACATCTAGAAGTCCTGAGCAGGTTTTCAGGAGCCAAGTCTCCTAGTGGCTTTACAGTCCTGACAGGTCACTATAATGCCAGATCCTTTCTGTCCACCAATAGCAGCAATACAAGTTAACATGGGAGACCAATTGAATAGAAAAAAACCAAGTAAAGTAATTCTTGATTTTGGCCTCAAACTTGATGGACTGAGTATTTCCATCGCAGAATTCAGAAAATGATTTTGAAATTGAAGTCGGTACAGATACTTTGCCTATACACAATAGTGTATGTTCCTTGGTGCTATTATTAGTGCTGAACTACTGAAGAGAGTCAATCACCTCGAGCTTCGAACAACTTGGGAATTCATTAACTGTGTGACTTAAGTTCTCATTTTGAGTGTGCGTGTATACTTTGTCTATAGCCAACACTCCACTAGGGTAACTTAAAACAAAATAGTAATTTATTTACAATAGGAAAGATGTCAAAAATAACAGGAATATATAACAAATCCAAGATTTTTATGAAAAAGGCAAACAATATATACAGGAAACGAAAGATGAAACAAAATCCATAGGGTAAACTTAATTTGACCTTAAAACAGTTGCAGAATGTGGCAAAATGTTTTTTTTATGATTTCCTTAAGTAACCCTGGGCCAATGAAAACACACACACATCTTTCTCAGCCCTTCTCTTTTAAATGCTGAATCTTCCTCTGAACCCAATTTACCTTTAGGGAATGTAACTATGGGAGGCCACACAAGATTTAGGAAGTGCAGGCTACTTACATGCGTGCTAAAGGATATATACTTGTTGACTTGGCTTTTAAAACAGCAAACCGAAGGTATAAACTACCGTTTGGGTCCTATTCTTCTCTCACTGTTCATTTCTGATTTTTTGTGATTTTCTCATCTACCACACTAAATGTTGAACCAGTCGTCATCTTTTAGGTTCCTCAAGTGCTCTAAAAGTTTCCTAAGCTTTAACAGGCATCAGAATCACTTGGAGAACATGTTAAAACAAAGATAGCTGGGTCACACACCAGTTTCCCAATTCAGTAGGACTAGCGTGGGGCTGAGAATTTGCATCTTTAACAAAGTCCCAGGAGATTAAGATGCTGCCAATGCTGCAGCCACACTTTGAAAACCACTGCTCTGAAAGATTGCCCCCCTTTAAGATATTGATTAGCCATGTTTTTCCTTACATGAATGCTAGAATTTGTGGGAAATGCAATTGTTAATACTGAGATTCCCAGGTAATACAGATGCACATACATTATCTGACTGGTTGGGATCACAGACAAGTTGGGTATCATTTGTTGGACGTTCCATTACAACTTAAGTTTTTCAGCATGCTATGGTTTTGCCCGATTTATGGCTCTAGACAGTGACATTCACCACATTCCCTTGGTCATTTACCTAAATTTTGAATTATTGTTTCAATTATTAGGCAAACATTTGCTTGTTCATACAGTTGGAAGAACTGCAGAATCTTGTCTATACGACCAAAGATGGCACAACTCTCTTTTGACTCCTGACATTTACTTAACTGCCAATTTTTAACTGCAGCAGTGACCACTCTCTAGTATGTTACCGTCTACTACAGTCCTCTAAACTGGGCACAAAGGGGTAACGAGGGCACGATTTCTGCTGTGGAGGTGGTAACAGTCCCCACTGATTAAATATGCTGTGAATTAATACTGAAATGAACTTTAAGTGCTCTCAAAAACCACTTTATGCATAGGTAATTCATCTCAGGGGAACTGGAGATGCTAATAAAACAAATCATTTATGAAGATAAAAGAAAAAATGAATTCCAAGGACATGCTCATCAAAGGACTCACCAATCACCTCTTAAGTTCTCGGAAATACTACTTGCAAATTCACAGGACTGAAATATTACCAGTATTTGCATCTGAGTCACAAAATTCAAAGCAATCAAGCACTTTGCATTCCACTGCTGCTTAAAAGGAATTAAGAAATGGGGGGGATGAAAATAAACCACTGCTTTTGATGTTTATTAGGTTTACAAAAACTGTACATTTTTTTTCATTAAGAAAAAGCATTAACTTAGTACTGGTATCAAATAGACTAAACATTCAATAACAGGAAAATATTCTGATTTTTATTTTTGCACGTTATTCTCAAGTACACAATTACAATAATGTCACACATCCCTATATGATTTTCTTTTTATGTATTTTACTTTTTTTTTTTTTTACAAAGTATACAGAGGGAGGGACATACAATATTTAATAGGATATTTCTACAGAACAATAACTTATATTATGTCCTTGTAAAAATCTGTACCTCTTTAAAACATTTAACTGAAGCATCCTTGTTTTTTTAGCTTTGCTAATCAAAATTGTTTTAAGAATTAAAACTAGGTTGTAACTAATGTCAGTACATAACAGTGACTACGATTTCATTTTCTCTTTATACAGACAAATACGTTTTATCATATTCACTTGACCAAACCCTTAAATACCTTTTAAAGGTTTTAATATTGTGCTTTAAAAAGAAAAGAACTGTGTATGATTCCAGAGTATGTAAGAGAAATATAAAATGTGTGAAGTGATGTGTTCTTTATCTTTCAGTTTATTTAAAAAAATATAGTTAAATGACCCAATCATTTATATTTTCTGTATTAATTTTATAGGATTTGAAATTAATACACTTCTACTTTAAGTGTTTTAACATTACTTCTGGGAAAAATAAAAATCAAGGGAGATTTTAAAGGTTCTCACAAAAAAACAGACAGAGTTTTCAAGAATCACAGGGCAATGAATTACAAATCATATAATTTTAAGTTCGTAAAAAAAAAAAATTACAGCACATTATGTGGGCCAAGAAGGTACAGGAATTTGCTGAGATAGGCTAGGAAAACCCATGCCTTGACTTTGGCATTTAGGCTAGAGTTCACACCTGCCTAAAGCACTTGATTTAAAACTAGACTAAGTCAGTCTAGCACTTCAGAGGCTTGCCAAACACCAAATATTTTGATTTCTAACCCTAAAAATATAACTCTTGAATACAAACATCAATGGCAAAGAGAAAGATGAAAGGTAAAAACCTAAGCACAAAGGGGGTGGAGCACCATAACAAGGTGGCAAGGCAACTACTGAGTGGGAAGACAATTTCTAGTTTTCCTACAACGTGCTAGATGCATATAAACCAATAGCCAATTGAAAGGACCCCCAAAACTGTTTTCTGTTCTCCAAGATTCGTCTTAGCACAACCAAATTCTAATCAACAGAGTTTGTTTTATGAACGTATGACACTGCTTCAGAACTGTTAAAAAATGCCAACTCTCAAAAAAACAGTGGAAGACTTAGTGATGTTCCAAATAAGGCCTCCGACTTTCCTTATCCACTTAAAACACATCTCTACCTTTTAATCAAAGCCAACTTGAGTGTTAAGTTTTTAAAGTTTGCTAACTGTAACTGTCTAAGAAATAACAGATCAGGCTGAACTTGCCAAATGTGAAGTCGTAATTAGCACCCGTTCTCTGGTCCACAGAGCTATCGCTGCTTTTCCATCCCCCTCACTAGATAAGACAGAGTTCCCTCTCAGGCTTCTCAAAGAGAACTGTGGGAGTCATGTCTGGATACTCATTTGCTTTTCAAAAAATATATAAAGACATGGAGCTGAAACTGTATGAAAACATTCTACCTAGAAACATCTTAACCTCTATTTTTCAATTACCAAAGATATTTAAAAGAAAATACCTTTACTCTTTAAAAATACCTAGTGTCCTTATTTTCCTTCTAATTCTTCACCTGAGTAGTCTCTCTGAAGAGCATGACTTACAAAATGCTCTCTCATGCATCCCTGGATCTTTCGTGTTATTGTAAATTTAATACTTTTAATTATAGATTTTAAACAACTACTACTTGGGGTCATGTGTATAAATATGTAAAGTAAGCAATACACACAGGTACGTGATATATATGTATGTGTGTGTATATATATATATATATATACTTCAGGGTACATTTACATATATAAAGTTGCAAAAGATCCTATAAGCCATGAGTTACCTCTAGGAGATTCCAAACTGCAGTCCTCAGTACGTGTCATTTGTAGCATACACCCATTCCAAGACGAAGCCACACAGACAGAATAATCAAAATACAACAGGATCAAGCAAAAATTTTCAATAAGGTTTTCTAAAGTTTGCTACGCTGACAAAAGACGTAAATAATCCAAAGAAAGCCAAAAGAAGTATTATTTTATCTGCTAAACAAAATGAAGAGTAAACACGAACCCAGCCACTGTTCTTTACTCAGCAAAGCCAGGGACGCAAAAGCTCAAACGGCAACTTTCACTGTCAAGTGGTCTGAAAATATTAATCAAGACAAGTAAATGACTTCCATCTTATGATAATTAGACCTGACTGTAAAATCTCCCATTTATATTAGTAGATGTCTCTGACAATTTTATTGTGAGAAATGCATGGGGAAAAATAATGAGTCAACATGAATACTTTCAGAGTTACCAATGATGTAAAGTTACCTTAAGTTAATGATCTTAGAAGAGTACCATCAAGGTAAGCAAGGTAAATATTTAAATAAATATAAAACTTCTAAGATATAAAAATTCAGTATAGAATCAGGGATTACTTTATTAAAAGTAACTAGCTTGTTGCCAGTTTTCCCCATTTATTAAACAAACTGAATAGAATTTAGAACACACTACTGAACAAAATGTATATTAAAAAAAATCAACTAGAAAGCGGTAAATCTATTTGTACACAGCATAAATCAATATACAGTATTGTATGTGAATGAGATTGATTGGCTTTAATATGAATTTTCTGCTTCAAGGCCAATATCTCTACCATCTGGAGAAGTATTGTTAGGGCAGGCCAACTTCTTTATGATGTCGCATTATGTGCTGGTTCTTTTCTGAAGGTCTTCGGAAGCCTTTCTTGCAGTACTCACACCGGTGAGGATAGTCTTTCGTGTGAATGGAAATAACATGTCGTTTAAAGCCTGAGGCATCTGTAGTGCTATACTCACAGTACTCACACTGATACACTTTCCTGCCACTGTGTGTCTTCATATGCTTTTTAAGCTCATTCTGTTGCCTGAATCCCTTTCTACATCTCTTACACCTAAACGGAAGATCCTTTGTGTGAACTGAGAGAATATGGCGGCTTAGAACAAAAGGATCTGCAATCTTAAAGTCACAATGTCTACACTGGTGCATTTTTTTGCCCTTGTGGGCAGCCACATGTTTCTTGAGTTCTGAAGGCCTGTGAAAGCCTTTATCACACATGTCACACTTATGGGGGTAGTCTTTCGTGTGAACTGAAATTATGTGTCGTTTCAAATCACTTGAGTTCGAACTCTTGTGGTCACAATGCAAACACTGGTGTGTTTTGCTTTCTTGGTGGATAAGAGCATGTTGCTGCACCTCTTTGGTATCCGAGAAAGTCAGAAGACAAATGTCACACTTGAATGGCATCTCTTTACTATGCTTAGTTTTTACATGCGTTTTCAAGTTAGAAGAGTCTGCAGACCTATATTCGCAGTACTGGCATTGGTACGGCTTCTCCCCAGTATGGATTCTCATGTGCTTTTTGAGCTCTGATGGGTGACGAAAACCCTTACCACACTCCACACAAATATGAGGAAAGTTCTTGCTGTGGACCGCCAAGAGGTGGCGATTCAATAGCCCTTGTTCAGCTGTCTCGTATTCACAGAATTTACACTTGTGCATTTTGTTGGCTCCTTTTTCCTTATGCACCATTTTGTGAGTAAACAAAGCCCCCGCGTGAGAGAAATGCTTCCCACACTCATCGCATTCAATGGCCTTCTCTGCCTTGCTGGTAAGCTTGTGGCTCTCCAGGTGGTTGTGTAAACTTATCTTCTTGTTGGTAGTGTAATCACAGTCAGTACAGCGGTACTTCTTCTTGGCAAGGTGTTCGGGATGGTTTTTCATGTGCCTTTTCAAAAAACCTCTCGACTTAAACTTCTTCCCACAAATCATGCAAGGATAGACAGTCAAAGGATGTCCATCAGGGCCAATAATTATTGCTAAGAAAGGGAAAGAAAGGAATATGAGTGCTCAAACCAAGTTGTGTTCCAGTTTCTTCATGAATGTAACCGATATGTTCTGACCACTGTTGGCCAAGGACTCCTAAGTTGGGCTATTCGCTACTTAGCATTCCTTTTACTGTTTTTCAACACGAGATATAGCAACCTAGTCATAAAGAGAAAATGGTCTGAAAACTTCATTCATGAGGACTGTACCACCTTCACTCCCTCTAGTTTAATAAAATTAATGAGTATGTAACTTCCGTCAATTAGTGATTAAAGCTATAGCAATTTAGAAATTGGTGGAAAATTAGCTGGGTGCGGTGGCTCACACCTGTAATCCCAGCATTTTGGGAGGTCAAGGCAGGCAGATCATCTCAACTCAGGAATTCATGACCAGCCTGGCCAACATGGCAAAACCCCATCTCTACTAAAAATACAAAAATTAGTGAGGCACAGTAGTGAACATCTGTAATCCCAGCTACATGAGAGGCTGAGGCAGAAGAATCACTTGTACCCAGGAGGCGGAGATTACAGTGAGTTGATATTGCGCCACTGCACTTCAGCCTGGGCAACAGAGCAAGATTCTGCCTCAAAAAAAAGGAGGAAACTGGTGGGAAATTATTCATAAAAATAAACTGGTTACAAAAATTTCCACTGTTTATTCCAAAAACCATAATTTACATTAACTTACAGCAAAGTTTAAATATACCCATAAATTTTTTAACATGCAAATCATCATATAAAAATAAGACTATGTCATAATGAACTAAAGTACTTATCCTGCTGCTCTGTAAATTATGCCTGCTTTATGCTGACATAATTAGATTCTCTAAATATGTTAATTTATTTAAAAAGTTAATGCTTATAACATATTTGAGGGATTTCATTCCACGTACACATCAAAATCATCCAAGTTTTGAATTTTTCTCATCCATGTTTGAGCCATCTCCTGTTTCTTTTTATCCAAGGAAATCATTCATGAATATCACTGAATTCTGAAAATTATATTTTCAAGTTCAATAGACAAAGCTACATATGATCTAGCAGCTAAAATGCCATTGTGACACCCCTGTGGATACATACTAGAGTTTCCTCTGAGAGCTCGCAGAGCACGCTGCGCCATGGAACTCGTGCACCCTCACCTGTTTGGTACTGCCTGGAATCAGGTCTTCTCCTTTTCTTTGGTTTTTGTTTAGCCAGTCTGCCGAGGCCAGCAGACTCATCTATGTGCAAGAGGGCACTTGCAGTGCCATTCCGGTTTTCAATTCCATCAGAATTATTACCTGACAATGCGTATTAAAAAACAAAATTATACAGTATTATAAATTCTAAAGAATTAGGAATTCTTTATTAACTATAACAACGAAAAGCCATGATACTCATGAATGACAGAAATTCCCCATTCTAGGTCACGGGTTTTATGAGCACATTTATTATAGCGAGACCATAGGAAACGCCTAGCTTCCAAAGCTAAAAAACGCATGTCAGCATTTTGCCCCATGGACTCCCTTGTTGTCTCCCAAAATTATAAAGCCATGGGCCAAATATGATGAAAAGTTACAGCTTGAAAGCCTGTGTACTTCTTGCAGTACTTCCTTCTACATAATATACACATGAAGAAAATTCCTGTTAAAAATAAAGACAAAAAGTAGACTTTATACTCTTATTCAAATCAAATAATCCTTACAGGATACTGGAATTTCAGATTTTTAAAACCTAAGACCACAGAAACCATTCTTCAATCATGGATTCATGTTCAAGAACCAACTTCTTCAATGCTAAGAGTTGCTGGGCAACTTACCATAAGCTGCTGCCCATGCGATCGGCATGAAGGTTTTGATTTCATTGTCGTCCATTTGCTGCTCATGCACGGCGGCGGCGGCTGCAGCTGCCGCAGCAGCATCCTCCTCTCCTACAATCACTTCCATATAAACTTCATCAGCGATTTCAGCAACATCTAAGTAGAAAGTTACAAAAACTTCTGTGACCAGGTTTACAGAGATCACAGGAAAGATGTTTTTATTTGAATTCGGTTAATACACAAATGAAAAGAAGGTCCAAATATTACATACCTAGAACATAGCTTTCATGTAGTAAGCACTCAATAAATATTTGTTGAATGAATCATTCACTTCTTGGCTTTCACCATAATTTGGTTTTAAAGGAACATTGTAAGCATATAAGTCACTGATGTTTCCCTTGGAATGTAGTAGCATAATAATCTCTAAAATAATGCTACTTATTTCAAACATTGGCCACTTAAAAAAAGCTCCAGAAACATAAAATTTTCTCCCACAAAAAGGCCACCTACTTACTTAAATCTTCATCTTCTGGCTGAGAGTCATTGACAGTCATATAAACCATCTTTTCCCTGGGAACACGAATACTGCTGTTCTGATCAAGCAGTTCAACTCCATGATCATTCTCAGGCTCACTCTCCACAATGTCTACAGTTCCACCTATCAGGGAAGAAGACAGCTTCAATAATTTACTTGAAAACTTCATTTCCACCTGTTTCTTTTTATATGCTTTCCTTATTACTTTTTACAAACTTTGCTATTACTACTTTGAAATTCTTATATAGAAGTTACTTCAGAAGAGACTCCAAATGTTCTCAATCTAAATAACCCAAAAGTAATCAAGCTGAAGCATTTGGATGAGAATATATAATGTCTAAACACTTCTTCTTACCTAAGTCATCTTCTCCAGGGTCAGCTTTAAAAATGTACACCTTGATGACCTCAGGGCAAGAGCCATCCACTTTACAAGGATCAATTTCCGACTCTGTGTCCATGGTCATTCCAGAAGAACCGTCGTGTTCTATTTTGCCAGCATCATCCACTAAAAAGGAAGGAAATAAATCACAAATAATAATAGCAGATATTTAAATAAAATGTTACTATTTGGAAAAGTTCTTTTACAAATATAATGTCTAACTTGATTCACATAAAATTAGATTTTACACCAGGTGCGGTGGCTCACGCCTGTAGTCCCAGCACTTTGGGAGGCTGAGGCAGGCAGATCATGAGGTCAGGAGATCGAGACCATCCTGGCTAACACAGTGAAACCCCGCCTCTACTAAAAATACAAAAAAAGTAGCTGGGCACAGTGGCACATGCCTATAGTCCCAGCTACTTGGGAGGCTGAGGCAGGAGATTTGCTTGAACCCAGGAGGCAGAGGTGGCAGTGAGCTAAGATCATGTCATTGCACTCCAGCCTGGGTGACAGAGTGAGGCTCTATCTCAAAATTTAAAAAATTGGATTTTACCTAGGCAACTAGAAGATTCAATAAATATATTCCTAAAGACTTCTGAAAACGGAATCAGATATTAAAGCAAAAACTATACACAGAGAAAACTCCGTGGTAGCCTAGAAAACTGTAAGTAACAAAAGAATATACTTATATAGCCTTTGCTAAGCCACAAGGTAAAAGCACTCCTAATTAAAGATTCCGTCGAATACTAAAATCTTAAAAGAACTGGCCAAGTGCAGTGGCTCACTCCTGTAATCCCAGCACTTTGGGAGGCCAAGGTGGTTAAATCACTTGAGGCCAGGAGTTCAAGACAAGGCTGGGAAAAATGGCAAGACCCCCATCTCTACCAAATATATATATATATATATATATATATATATATATATCTCACACACACACACACACACACACACACACACAAATTAGCTGGGCATGTGGCACGCGCCCGTAGTCCCAGCGACTCGGGAGGCTGAGATGGGAGGATCACATGTGCCTGGGAGGCAGAGGTTACAGTGAGCCAAGATCACACCACTGCACTCCAGCCTGGGTGACAGAGTGAGAGCCTGTCTCAAAACAACAACGAAAAACTTAAAAGAATGTCCTAGAGGTAAAATCAAGAAATACAGTCTTCATATAAGTATTTTATAAGAACTATTTCATGGTCACTATTCTTGAATATCATTTGATATAATCTATTTCCAATAGAAAAATACATTTGAAAATAATCAAAATATGATTGCCAGAAAGGTATACTGCAATGAGATGGTCAACAGAAATTCAACTTCAATCTGCTTAAATGTAAATGTGCATAATGTACACACACAACTTTAGTTTATGATAATAATGAGTCTAGGTCCTTGCTGGCAAATGCAGCAATACATGAATTAAAACATATTTATATATACCCATTGCTCTCATTAATGAAGGTATAGCCTACATATGTTAAAAAATGAACAAACAGAGAGAGAAAAGGAGAGAGAAAAAAAAGAAAGAAAAATAAAAAGAAAAGAGATACATATGATTTCCAGTAGTAGAGACTCGAGGGATATACAACAAACATCACATTTATTTTTTAATTTTATATTTTATGTATTTGTTTATTTTGAAAGAGAGTCTCTGACACCCAGGCTGGAGTGCAGTGGCACAATCTTGGCTCATGCTGCCTCCTGGATTCAAGTGATTCTCCTGCCCCAGCCTCTCAAGAAGCTGGGATTATAGGTGCCCGCCACCACACCCAGCTAATTTTTGTATTTCTAGTAGAGATGAGGTTTCGCTATGTTGGTCAAGCTGGTCTCAAATTCCTGACCTCAAGTGATCCACCCACCTCCGCCTCCCAAAGTGCTGGGATTATAGGTGTGAGCCACCACGCCCAGCCAAACATCACATTTTTAAAGCTTTGTAAAAGCATCCGAGGAAATAAGTTGCTGTTATTCATAGGACCTGGAAAATAAAGCCCCCCAAAATGATGTCTTCAAATAACAGACTCTGAATTTGAATACCAAAAGCATAATCCCCATATAATGTAGCCCTACGTTACACAGTGACATCTCTCGCTCAACAGTAAGTGTGGCAAAGACTAATGAAAAGTTAGCACCCAATACAATTTAGTTTATCACAAAAGCTGGATTTTTCAATGTTGAGTCCATTAGTGAAACACTGAAGGAATGTTCTCTCTGCTCTAGGCCCAGCAGACCTATGTGGCATAGTGGAAGACTAACCAGAGGTGATCAGGACCGAGTCCCAGAAAAGAAGCCTCACTGAGCTTGTCCGCAATGCCTACAACAAGGCTTTTCATTTCCCCTTTGCCCTTTTAGTCCCCTTTCTGGTGTTCCTCTGCCAGATATATCTGTTTTCCTTTTGGATGGACATTAATGTTTTATTCAGTTCAACAATCAGTGAATCACAACTATATTAGACTCTAGGCTAGGTACTGAAGATGCAAACATGAAAGTCAAGGGCTCCAGAAGTTTAGTCTCGTGGGAAAGTAGACAACAGCTATCTTTAAATGCAGTAATAACAATGCAGCTACCACTTATTGAATGATTATGGTAAGTACTATTCAATACTTACAACCCTCTGAGGCAGGTGGTACAATATTCTCTACATTTTACAGTAGAGCAAACTGAAGTTTAGAAAGGTTGGGTAACTTATCTGGAGTCACACGATTCATATCTCAAACTATGTTAGCCCCAATCAGGACTCGTCAACTTCTGGAACTTGGAGCATAGGGTTTAAATTGGTAGAGGCCAACTGTGATTTTTGAAAAATCAAAAAAATAGTATAACAATTTAAACATGCTTTCTTTTCATGGAAATCAAATGAATGTGCTCATGACTCAAGCAGGCATAAGCAGTATTGCAACCACAGCTAGGTGGTGGTAGTTCTGACCACTATTAACTTTTAAAATTCAGTCATCCCTTGTGTAATTTACACCTGTTATATCAAGACAGAACTCAAATTCTGACATCTTCGAAATGATACTTCTGCCAAGTCCTGTCGAAATCTCTATCAGATCCAAAAGTTGTGTTTACCTAATCAAAATTCTTACACAGAACATCAAGATGAATCTAGTATCTCAAAAGCCAACATTAAAAAGCAAAAATACGGCTGGGCACAGTGGCTCACGCCTGTAATCCCAGCACTTTGGGAGGCCGAGATGCTCGGATCATGAGGTCAGGAGTTAGAGACCAGTCTGACCAACATGGTGAAACCCCATCTCTACTAAACATAGAAAAATTAGCCAGGCGTGGAGGCACGTGCCTGTAATCCCAGCTACTCAGGAGGCTAAGGCAGGAGAATCGTTTGAACCCGGGAGGCAGAAGTTGCAGTGAGCCAAGATTGAGCCACTGCACTCCAGCCTGGGCAACAGAGTGAGACTCTGTCTCAAAAAAAAAATGGCAAAAATACAGTGACAATTTATCAACTTAACTTCTGACTTATTGAGAAATAAGACCATCCAGATCCCAAACAAATTACTTGCAAAGAAAGGTTGAAAATGGCATCCCCAAACCTTTGTCATGTGAAAACATAAAAATTATAAAATTTAATCAGCTTGCTTCATATGCAAAGTTTAAGAATCCCAAACTCGGCCAGGCGCGGTGGCTCAAGCCTGTAATCCCAGCACTTTGGGAGGCCGAGGCGGGTGGATCACGAGGTCAAGAGATCGAGACCATCTTGTCAACATAGTGAGACCCCATCTCTACTAAAAATACAAAAAATGGTGGCGCGTGCCTGTAATCCCAGCTACTCGGGAGGCTGAGGCAGGAGAATTGCCTGAACCCAGGAGGCGGAGGTTGCGGTGAGCCAAGATTGCACCATTGCACTCCAGCCTGGGTCACGAGAGCGAAACTCCGTCTCAAAAAAAAAAAAAAAAAGAATCCCAAACTCTGGGCCACTGACAGCAGTTGTTGTTTTGGTCTATTTTTGACATCATTAATCAGCAAACGAGATTTTAATATACCTTCAGTTTCAAAACCAAATAAGTCACTTAAAAATGTACTTGTTGATAAATTATACTTTTCCTTACATACTTTAAATTCAAATGAAGGTCATTTATGAGAAAAAAGCAAAACCTTGCATATTATGTACATTATAAGATGACATTAAAGTTGAACCCTCTAATGCAACCTTTAATAAATTGATACAGAAAATAAAAGAGAATGAGAGAAGTCTGGCAAACATCATTGTGCACTGATCGCTGCCATGGGAACAAAGGAACGATACCTCACTCAGGATGGGATAAAGAGAAGGGCACTTAATTCAGGTAAAGGGACAAATGCAGGGAGACACAAAATGGCATGATGGTAAGGGAATGCATGGTTCAATATTGCTGCAATGTGAGGGAAAAGTGTGTCACAAGGCATGGCAGGAAATGCAGTTGACTGCAGAGCTGAAACCAGGTCATGAAGGGCCTGGTGCACAAGCAGAGGGGCTCAGACTTTATCCTCGCAGGCCAAGGGTCTCAATCTGGTCAGGTGTCAAAATCTCTTAGGGAATTTAAAAACAAAGCATCCAGTCCAGCAGCTCTACAGAATCAGAATCTGCAGGGCTGGGACCTGATATATATGGACAGATTTAGGGGCGCCATGCCTCTGGGACTCTGACAGGCAGGAGAACATCTGCTGCAGGGATTGGAAGACTTTCAGGCAGAGCAGTGACTAAGTCAGATGCCCATTTTGCTGGTCTTGGAAAAGTAGATCCAAAGAGATCAAAACATGAAGCTGACTTAAGTCTACTACACTAATGCAGGTAATGACGACGCTTTGAATCAGGACAGAGGTAGTACAACTGGGGGAGTGGGCTGGACTTGGGGCCTATCTTGGGACTAAAATGAGTAGAACTTGGTGTCTGACTGAAAACCCAACATGACAAAGGAGCCAAGGCTAACTGGGTGTTTTTAATTTAGGTGACTGAGTGACTGGGGTAAGAAATGTGAGAGAAATGAGGAAAAGGATCTCTCTTCCTACATGTTTGATTAATTAACTTAAGATCCCAAGGATAACATGCTGAAAAGCCCTCAGAGCCAGCGCTTGTCACTATCACATTGTGCTCATGGCACCCTTTGCTTGCTTGCTTCTCTCGGAATACA